ACACGAACAGTTTCTTTCGGGGAATTCCATACAGAGGTGTAAATATGACATCACATGAGAGGGCAGGAAACAATTTTCCTCTAGAAAACAGAAACTACTTCCATAAAACAACGATTAAGGAAGAGTTGATAAACAGAGAGTTTGGTGAAATCACGCATTCAAAATACTTTATTATAATGAAAATAGTGAAAAATTCATTGAAAGTGCATAACCATAGTTTGCAAAGACGGGAGAACTAAAAAGCCATTGAGTTTACTAGTTCCATATTAACTTATATGTCTTACGCTTAGCATTATCTCTGCCGCACAGAGCACATGCGAGACAAATACGGTACCATGCATGTTTTCGTACTTAGTGTGTGGGAGCGCGTAATTTCTTTCAGTCTCACTTGGTCAGATGCAAGACGGGGAGAGTTATGAACAGAGAAGTTGAGGGTAAGGTGTTTGCAGTCACACAATATGTATTGAGATCATCGCTCACATGATTTCAATTGCATGTGGATGGCAGCAGTAATGAGGTGACCTGATGGTGGCACAGCCATCGCCTTTTATACAACCCTTAGCACCGTTGTTCGTCATCATACAGAGAAGGACCAGTCTGGGGGTAAAACAGCAATAGCTTAAATACAAGATTCAACCTATTGTAGAAGCAGAGGTTATGTCATACGTAATTGATTGTCGTAACCTGATAGCGTCAAATTCTACGCTATCACATCTCACATAATGTCACGCAACATTCTGAATTTAATTCTGTTTGTCTACTAATCCAAAATTCTCACACCCAGGCCAGCTTCTATGGATCCTATGAATTGTTGTATATCTGAAATGAATTTTCATGCCTTTTCACAAGTGGTGAGAGCAGGCTGCTAGCCAACTGGTAGACATTAATCTACGTCAATGTCTAGGTCACTAATATTGACCGTGAGAAAATATGAACAAGGCTGATTCAACAACCAATCACAGTAAACTTAAACGTGGGCATGTATGATTCGCAGATAGATGGCTTTACTTTCCGAGGAACTCGAAAACAACCAAACAGAAGACTGTGTTTGTCTGCTTGAATAAGTTATAATAATGTATGTGAAATATATATAAATACGTGTTGATTTCCGTAATAAAACGATCTGTTGCCTAGCCCTTGTCTTCTGTTGTTACAAGATATTCGATTCACTCCTTTTCAGAATACTGTCAACAATTAAACAATCAGTCCTCATGTGTTTTGTTCACATCGGAAACTGAAATTAATTAGGCTGAATGACATCAAGATGGATTTGGTTTCAGACCATTTCGAGTAAGACTGTGTCAACTTCAGATAACATTCCATTCATATAAAAAGAATTCAGTATAGAGTCAACTGGGACGTTGATTGTCTGATCAACGGTGAATCCCGTGAAGTTAGTCTTGTGAGAATACGGAAGAAACTGAGAAGGTGCAGCGCTTCGAGGTACACCAGTTCTCATTAGCAACGAAGTGAAGCGCTCTCAATAATTTCTACCACCACTGCTCTTGTTATCAATATAATTATCTTTATCACCCATTGTTTAAATTTGTTCACTAGAAATACATGAGGTTTAATTGAATTGGAAACAAACTGGACATTGCATGTTATATGACAAGTACGATATTGTACACACATGACAACAGCAGCACAAAGTGGCCTCATTTTTCTATGGAAGAGGAGCTTCTTTGGAAAATTTACGTAGTATTCCTGACGATATGGAGAGCATATTTACATTACCATTATCAAGTGATCTAGATGTAACGTTTGTCGTAAAGGTTCGAAGGTCACATAATTCACATATTAAAGCAGACTCACAGTGAACCTAGACGCTGTGCACTTTCGGCTTTAACTTCTTCTTCCTTTAGTGGTTCGTATTTAACCTGATATGTACACTCCACATCTTGAACTGTTAGTCTGACATCTTCGCCCAAAGTAAATTCGTTCCCTTTAAAATCTACAGTTACTTCCCCTTAAAATAAACGAAAAGACATGAATGAAGTGAAATAATACTAATAATAATCTTCTGATCCGTTGAGTTTCAAAGTTGGCTTGGTAGAGATCACGAATGAGAATTATAAATTAGTTGATTCATATCACGCAGCAATACAGAATTGTGTTCCAATCGCAATCGTGACTCATTTTAGTCAGTAATAGTCTCTCAGTCCATGACCATCCCATGAACATCCAAACATCATACAAAGTAAATGAAGGATACCACGTGAAACTGTCACTCTTATCTTCAGGGTAACAGTCTTGAGCCGAGAGAGTAAACCGGCAGAATTTACCCTGAATACAGAACAATCAAACTGTATTGAAATGGCTGATTTCTAAGTCCTGCCAACTGTTTCATCGTAGTTTGAGGCCAATCAGTAGTGCGCACTCAACAAAAACTTGGACCCAGGTGGAAGTCGGTGAGAATCCATATGCGACTGATTCCGGTCACGGTGGATCAATGGTCTACACGTCAACCAGCCATGTAGCCTGAAGGTCCTGATTTTTAACCGTTCTCGTGGGCTTATACTGCCAATGAGTCAAAGCTAGGCTAGCGAAACAGCTGTCTGACATTTCTCGCTGCGTTTCACCGGTTTTCCAGAATCATGGTTATATGTGGTGCCACTTGAAACAAATCAAATCCTTACAAACTAACACTTGCTATTCAGGGTGTTTACCAACTAGAGAAACTGCATATTTTTATGAGTATATTCGTTCAAAAACCTTATGGGGATGAATTCATCCCTACTGAGATTTGTCTTCATTTTCTTTCGGTAGCACAGTGGTTAGGACTCTCGCCGACCATGCACATGGTCCGGGGTTCGATCCTCTGCCGACGCACACCTGATATCTATTGTCGGCCCGCAAAATTTGGGCTACCAATATCACATGCTGAGAATTCCATACCTGTTTCAAAAAATACGGTGTGGAATCAAGCTGTAATCAAAAACAAAAATTAAAATTAATCTTGATAGTGAGTATTTACGTCAAATATCCGCGTCAACAAATGAGGGACAAAATAAAGGGGTTTTCATGTTACTCTGCCCCTTGTGCAGGATGAGCGGTTTGTGAAGAAATGTCTCTCAGGAACTAGAAGCAACGCAATGAATTCGCTTTTGAATAATTTGGAAAAAGCTATGTTAAGTCGCTCTAAAACACCGAGTGACTTTATAGACCGGCTGTAATAGAATTTCTTCGAAAGTTATATCCGTATCAGTCCTGAATTCCTATAGTTGTAAGGATGCTGCCGAGACAACTGAATGAATGACGTGAACGCTTTCACATTTATCCAGCTGAGGGTGATCGCTGCTTATTGTTTTCGTCAGTCCATTGCTTATCTTCCCTACCTTTTTCTTCTTTATCTCCACTTGAATCCCAGTATTCTCTGCCTTCTCCTCTGGAAAGCTTGCAAGTTTTCACCTATAAGTCTTCAATAATATGATAATAGTCTACTTTATTCCATAAACAGTAGTTATAATACAGAATGGAATTCTCAACACTTGTCACAATATTGCATTTGATTTACTTAAAATATAAATAAACCTCGCCAGATACTAGCTTGCTAGGCTACTAGCGTACTAATTTTCTCGCCGGTCCCAAGCCCGGGTAAAGAGGGGGCGTTGGGGCGTGGTGCTAGCAACTCCACCCCTGTAAAACAACCAAATCGCTACAGAAACTTCAACGAATAAATATATTAAAAATTCTAAAAATATAAGCAATAGCCTTACTTTTCGATCAAAGTATCATATACAATGCTTAATTCATCTTCAATTACTTCTTCTGAGCATATAGCTCTAACTGAACCTGTGGCTGAGGGTCTTCACTAAATTTCTTTTGTACTTGATAGGAACGAAGCTGTAAAAATGTGTATACTATCCTGTCCAAGTACTTTTTCTATGCAAATTCCTTTTTATCCTACCATCTGGTTTTCTTGTAAGTAGGACATCCAGGAAGGCAATTCTGTCTTAGGAATCCTCTTCGCATGTGAATTTCATAGCCGAATGTACTTCATTGAATTCAGTGATTATTGTACTCTTATTGGAACCATTATCACAAAGAATAAAGGTATCAACAATATATCGGCAATCAAATGAGAGCTTACTGATAAGGTTGTTCAGAGGTCCATTTTCTAACTTACTTAGAAAGAAATCAGCCAGAATGGGACCCATATCAAGTATTGGTCTTAATGGTACCCGTGGTTTATGCACTTTAGGTAGGCCATATAATCTTGGCGTATACGTGCCCGTTGGCCAGATTTCTTCATATAAACTTTCAGAAAATATCTGCTCTTTCCTTAATTTCTTCAAACGTCTCGTTAATTCATTCTCTATTTTGTTATTGAAATCTTTCTTCTCCTCAAGTTTTTGAAACTTCTGTATGTTTTTTAGTATATCATTCACGTTTTTGATATAGCCACTTCTCATTTGTTTGTTTTTTGGTTGCTTTTTTAACTATTGTGATTCTATAAAATTCACTCTCACATTATCCCATATCTGCCTCAGCTTCTATATGCATTTCGGTCACGACTCACTCATTGGGTTATTCATCTGAATAAGTTACTCAAATCCACTTAATCAACTTTCCTTGTACATTGACTAATATCGACAACTATGACTGTCACAGTTCATAACTTATGGTACTATCCTCTTCCATGAAAAACAAAATTGTATATAAATGTTATTATGCAGATGGAAGGGAAAATGTATTCAACGAGATAGACCGCTTCACTGAAATGTGTGTTTTGTTTCCATTGGCACATCTGCATGAGGATTATCCATGAATATCAGCAATATCGAATTCGCCGCTATACCAACAAGTTGTGTATGTAACTACTCAATACAATATGCATGTCAGATTCTACCTACTTATCAACAGTTCTATATTGATGATGTCTGTTCCTGACAAGAGATAACTCGACGTAGACGAGACACTATCCATTGAAGACAACAATTCACTTACTATCTCAACACAAATGAACAATTCATATTTGTCGAGAACAAGAAAGGAGTTTATGAATAAACCTTTATTGGAGAAAAATAATTTGCAGAGAGAGGAAGAAGAATATAGAGTGTTCATAAAACGTTTTTACTAACATCTAAGCAGAGTTGAAACTATTTATCAGCTATGCAATGACTATGAAGTGTATTATTGACATTTCTGCTGCAGTTTTAGTAGTGTTTTTACTCAGATACAGTCAAATGTTACTTTCTTCATAATGTTGCCTTACTTCGTCCATTCACGGTGAAGATTCACCTTCACACAGCCTACAAGGAGAGAGAGACAGATAATTATATGATCATGAATCCTCACTAGAATAAGTTTCGATAAATGCAGTCCTCGAATTTCGATTGTCTAAAAAGAGAGCGGTAAGAAAACTACCTGATATCATCAAATCAATGTGCACCATGATGGCGAGCTACTTAGAATGGTGGCCACATTGTAAACCTGACTGATAGAATTCAGTCTACACCAAATAAAGGACTAGAAACGTTGCACTAGTTACTATTGTCCAACCAAAGAACTATACACTGCTGCAAAATGCCTACGTGAAGTTGGTTACCCACGGAAGTTCATCGACAAACATGAAAAACTTAGGGTTGACAAGGTGAAGTACAGCACAGTAGGAAAAAACCCGTCTTTCTTCCATACTCCTGCTAGTAGAATCAAATGCAGACTGAACGCTACCCTGAGAAGAAAATATCCAGCTTAGAAAGCTAGTATGTGTTTATCGAACGACCTGTTGTTTAAGACAATCAAAAGTGGAAAACCTCACACCTCATGTGACCTCAAACTGCGTTCACCAGTTTACATGTACGTGACAAAGCACATATAATGGATTAACTAAGAGAAGTGTTATTGTCTGCACCGCTGAACACATGCACAAAGAACCTAAGATTAAAGGACCCACAAGCACTAAACAGTTCTATTGCTCACCATCTACTAGACAATCGCCATTTTGTGGACACTCTGAAGGCGTTCAACATAATCAACAGACAAACGAAACCTGGCCTAGATATGATAGAGAAGATTTGTAGCTCAGGTGGATGATTTTGATGTGGTTTTGTTCTCTGAGCTGGATGGTTAGTTTGCGAAGCTTTCATCACCCTACTGGGTGACATCTTCAGCGCATACTTCAATTTGCGTTGAAGTGAGATTTTAGATTTCTCCACGAGTTTATTAATCATCTCTCCTGGTGACCTTGGACGTGATTGGCTGTTTGTGTGTGTTTTCACACCTTCTAGGTTACTTGTATTGGAACCGGTTGTTTCTTTGACTTGAACTTTGACCCTTTGTGTGTGAAGTTTCTTTCTTATTGATGGATAAATTGTGTCTATCTCGATGTGTCTATTGATTGATGATTCACTGGAATGCCAAGTTGGCTTCTAAAAATTCTCCAGCACACTTGTTATTTCCTTTGTCTAATATTTGAACGTTGTCCCAGTCAAATTGATATCCATGGTTGTCTGTGTGTAGTGAAATGAGGAAGTGGATATCATGTCTTTTGACGGCTAGCTTAGGTTCGTGGATACGAAGACGAAGGGGACGTCCACTTTGGCCAATGTAGTGTTTTTCGCAGTTGTTACAGTTTATTTTGTAGATGATGTTGGATTGGTCTTCTTTCGCTGTTGAGTGTTTTGGTTGACATAGAATTGAGTGCAGCGACTTTGTTGGTTTGTGTACGACGTCAATTCCTAAAGGTTTGAAGAGTCTTGTAGTGATTTCTGAGATATCTTTTATATATGGTAAGGCAATTTTCTTTGTGCTTTCCTTGGTGGCTTTTGCTTGGATAGGTTGGCTTGGGGGTATATGTCTCTTGATGAAATTCCGTGGATATCCATTCTTTTGGAAGACGTCCATGAGATAATTTTCTTCAATTTTCCTTAAGGTGGGAGTGCTGCAATGAGTCCTTGCTCTCTTGAATAGTGTTTGTATGCAATCCTTTTTGTGTGCTATTGGGTTGTTGCTGTTGTAATTCAGTATTTGGTCTGTGTGAGTTGATTTCCTATGAAATTGAGTTTCTATTTCCCCTGCGGTTGTTCGCCTGACTTAGACGTCCAAAAATGGTATTTTGTTCTCGGATTCCTCTTCTCTTGTGAATTTGATGTCGTTGAAGACGTTGTTTATTAAGTTGTGAGTTTTGTCTAATTCGTTTCTTTTGATGATGACAAATGTGTCGTTGACGTAGTGTATCCAAATCTTGGGTTTGATCTTTGGTAGAATTATGTTTTCGAGTCTTTGCATCACTGCTTCTGCAATCAAACCTGATATTGGCGATCCCATGGGTGTTCCTTTGACTTGTTCATATATCTGGCCGTCGAATTGTTATTGTTGAATTGAATTCAACTTTGCTGAGGCGATCGCCTTGATGACAAAAAAGCACACAAATTTCACCACTTCATCATCTTTCCTGATTATAATCCTGGATTTTCCCGTCTAATAATGAATGACTCATCCTGCCTCCCTATCCTTTTTTGGTCTATTTTATAAAACGTGTTTCCCTGTGGTTACATCCACTTTTACTTTTGAAACTCTTTCTAGTTAAACTTTATTTCTCTCCACAAAATATCTGTTGAACTCTGTCCTTTTGTTTCAAAGCTTGATCACACAATTCTTCTACAAATACTCTATCCTATCCACTCTTGATTATTCACCAACACACATCATTTCTGACCAGTGTTACTCTCACTTCCAATCGATTACTCACTAACATTGTAGAATGTATGCTCAGACCATTAATTTGATTTATAATTTTAGTATTCCTTAAGTTGTAATCATTTGAGAAGGATACATTAACTCATAAAACTAAAAACATGAGATCAGGTTATACTGAAACATCTGTCGTTCTTGCTTTATTCAGACATAGGTATGTTTCTACAATCGAAACAACTGTGTAAGTGGTGATACTTACAGTGACATTTCTAGTGGAGTTTATCCTGCACAGAAGGGATTAAGTCTGCTTCAGTGTCATCTTCAGTCTGGAGAAATTCCGACAAGGGAACAACCTCTTAACAAACAAATGTGTTCGGAAAGAAAAGAGCTTGATCCGAACACGCTGGGTGAACTGTTGAGTGATACCACATGTTAGACCATTACTCGAAGGGACTCCTAATGGGAAATGATGAGTTGGTTGTCAGTGTGTGACATGAACGCTATAGTGTGTGTGTGTGAGGTGGGGGGGAGATGAGTGCTGATGGGCAATTGTGGAGTAAACCAGCTGCTGATTAGAAACATTTCGTAGGTTAATTTCGGACATTTGTCTCTTCACACAGAACCCCTGCTAAATATCGTATGGGTAAAATTTTAAATATGCTGACTATACAAGCGTAATCTTTTATGGGGTTTCTTCTAGTTTTACTCCTGTAGAGTTACAAGGAAAATGTTGCGAATCCCAAAAACCGAATATTCGGTGTCAGGCGACATAACCTCAGCCAACTACTTGCAAGAATTCAAGTGCTTACTGACAATAGTGTCAGTGAGCTAAGTCGAACGCTGCAAACCGCTAGTTCCGATTACAGCCTTTAGTGTTCTCCATGATATGACGCAGTCTGCTTTTGAGAAGTCCAGGGAAAGAATAAGTGAGGCAAACAACAAAAAAAGAAGAAAGTGTAAATTTTTTGAGAGAAGAGGTTGAGCTGGACCAGCAGGAATTCTCAAATGCTCCATGTAATTAGTCGAACAAAATATTTTTCTAGAAATCCACAGGATATGAGACGACCAAAGGAGATTCTAAGAAAAACTGATGCCGAGATGGGAGATATTCTATTCACTCCCTTTAAAAGTGCTGTGCAAGAGTCTTGTTCACACTTGAAACTTGAATCAAACTGTATGACATTTAGATGGATTTGGTTTTAGACACTTTCGAGTGGGATTATTTGTTAACCTCAGATAAGAAACTGTTCATATAAGAAGAATGCAATGCAGAAGGCACTGCGATGAACGTCGTCAGATCATCAGCAAATTCTGTGAAATTAGCCCTAAAAGAAGCCGGAAGATCATGCAAAACGAAGAGAGAATCGAGAAAGTGAAGTGCATTGAAGCATTTCAGTTTTTGTTAGCAACAAAATAGGGTGGTACCAATTCAAAACAGCATATTGTTTTCCACCAAAATATAACTAGGTCTGCAGGAGCGAGCGAATTTATAAACACACATCGCAATGAATTCTACCACTTCTGCTCTTGTTACTATTATTATTGATGCCTGTTGTATAAATGTGCTCACAGGAACTACATTAGGTGTGATGAAACTGAAAAACGTTTTGCCGTTACTAGTTACACCACATGTACGATACCGTTCACACAAGATAACAGCTACAGAGAGAGGCCTAGGTTTCCTATGGAAGAGAAGACTCCTGTCGTATTCGTGAGAATAAGGTGAGCATATTTATGTAATCATTACCAAGTGATTTAGATGTAATTTTCAGAACACACATATGTCACTCACACGGTGCCTTCACGAACGCCTCTTTTGGTTATCAGTTCCTCTCCATGAGGTTGTGTCATGTCAACTGTCCATCTACAGCCCTTATGTTCAATTGTTACTATCAAATCCTCACTCAATTGATAATACACCCCGGTAAATTCGACAAACACTTCTCCTTGAAATAAAATAAAGAAAAAAAGACATTTTAATGGTTTCACAGGAATCGTCTCAAATCTCTACAAATAGACCTGGTTCATGAATAAAGTGAAATAATAACGACCTGAGGATCAGTTGAATTTCAAAGTTCAACCGGTAGAGATCAGGAATGAGAATTTTTATGTCACTGATTCATATCAAGCAGCAATACAGAATTTTGTTCTAATTCATGTCAGTAAAAGTCTGTCAGTACATGGATATCCAATGGATACCTAAATTTCCAAGTATTGGTTTTGTAGGGATATTGTTTGATTGCATGGAGGATTTCACCATGAGCTGACATCAGTTAGAGAACCACTGGAAAACCGGGAAGTACTGGACAGCTGTTTCGTCATAGTTTGGAACTCTTCAGCAGTACGCACCCACCGGGGTTCGAACCCAGGAACTTCTGGTTACAAGGCGAGTTCGTAGACCATTGAGCCACTGGTACCCGATCCAAGGATCCTTGAACTGTCATCGAAGAAGACATTGCGAAGTGGTCGCGCTATGTCGTGAATTGGCAGAAGTTAGAATTCAACGACCATTGGATCGGGTTCCAGTGGCTTAATGCTATATGAGCTCGCCTTGTGACCAGAAGATCCTGGTTTCGAGTCCATGTGGGAGCGTACTGCTGAAGAGTCTCAAACTAGGACGAAATAGCTGTCCAGTACTCTCCAGTTTTCCGATGGTTCTCTAACTGATGTCACCTCATGGTGAAATCCTCCATGAATGTCTAAATATCAATCAAAGTAAATGAAAAATGCCACTAGAAAATCCCATTCTCATCTCCACGTTTACAGTACTGAGAATAGATTGAATAGTCAGAAGTTATCCCGAATACAGACCAATCAAACTGTTTGAAAGTGCGTTAATCAAGCAGTTGGGCAGAGCTAGAGCCTAGAATCTTCGCGTGACGACGCAGGATCGTTTCCTCTTCAGACACTCGGACAACATCTCATAACCCATCATTTCTAACTTTTTCGGTGAGAATGTGTTGTAAATGCTGATTACGGCTTCACACTGGAACTTCAGACAAACCTCCACAACTGAAGTACGTAAGCCATCAAACGGGAAATCAACCACATCTCTGAAAACTAACACCTGAGGATTCCAATAACTCAGGTAAACCTTTAGTTACTCAACACACTCCTGTTTGCCTTGTTTAGTTGTTGATAGACTTCAACTGCCTTACATTTACCAGTTTTACAGTTAACCATTCTCTGCTGACTTACTAACTAGCATTATGATTCACCTTAACACTATGAATATGTCTAATTTTCAATTGATGTTTGTTTCTAAATGAATTATTGCATGAAGTTTGACAATGATTTAATATCAGATAGTGGAAACTACCAGGAACTACCAAAAAGCCAGCTGTTTTATCATAGTTCGAGTCCCATCAGCAGTAGGTACTCACCGGAATTTAAACTTATGTGTATGTAATTTAGAATCCATCGGTGATAGATAGATATATATATAAATGCGTTTGTAGAGCTTTGAGGATGAAGTCATCTTTGCTGAGCTTTGTATTCTTTTCCCCTCAATATCCTGATGGTGAGTATTCTCTACCTTATACCTCCACTACCCACGTCGACATGTTACTGAGGAAGTAAAGGATTTTCAATCAACCTGTAAAATGTGCGAGATTAGAAGTCTGTGAAGAAACAGTGCTTAGGAATGTGCAGTAATGCAATGAATTCGATTTCATAATATTCAGATTGCTTTCTCAAGTCGAAATAAAAAATTTGCGGGTATTTTATAGACTGGATTAATTAGATTGTTTTCAGTTCATACAAGAGACTGTGAGCTGAATGGTTGGTCAATATGCCTGACACATAAATTAACCTAATACTGTTAATGAATGGAAGTTCAAGACTAAGTTAGTTAGTTTTGTCCATTAAATGTGAATTGACAAAGAACAATATATCCCTACTGCAACTGTGTACTGCTAAAGGTACAAAAAAGCTACAATCACGAGTGAGTCAATAATGAAGAAGAATGTATTATCAACGATGGTACCCGAACAGATATAAGAGCTTGCACAAGGCAGTATGGTAGACATTCAAAGAAAGATAGTCTTTATTGTCACATCGAACACTTGCAAACAACCACCACTGTTATTATTATCATCACTGATCCCTTGGCTTCCGAGTGGAAGATACGCCTTCAACAGCGCATCTCCACTTTTTCCTGTTAGCTGCCGTCCACTTAGGCTAGCCTGACGATTGTCCATAATCTCTCATCACCTCCACTACACACCGTCTCTTCCAACTCACTGTTTTCGATTCACGTCAATTTGCACAATGGTTCGGCTCAGGAAGAGTAATAAAGGCCTCTTCAACGTGAATCCCATCCATCTCCAATTTTTCCCACATGTTGCTTGACCAATGGGCTGATGGTACGTTTGTTCCCACAGTTTCTTGTTTCTAATTCCCTTTGATCATTTATTCTCCAATATGGTGGGAAGACAAATGGTGATTAGAGTCTGTAGACGGCTAGTGTAGATGCTTTCTGTAACACGCCGGCCACGTTTCAGACATATATGGAAGAAATGACTGACTGACTGACTGACTGACTGACTGACTGACTGACTGACTGACTGACTGATAGACTTAACATTGGTGTTGATAATCCCAATCTCATTCTTTACGCTCCAGTGGAGTGTGGAAGATTACCGAACTGATCTCTGAGTGAGGATGAAGGGCTGCCTTAAGGTTTTGGTTAGAGTTGGCCTTGACATTCTCATCTGTGTCGACTGACTGTAGTCGAAATGATACTGCCTATCCAGATAATTGAATTGTAGTGGAATCTTCCAAATTTACTCAGTTGAAAGTGATTGCTGCTTGTTATTACTTGCTTGGTTGCTTGGCTGTTCGGCTGATTGGTTGGTTGGTTGGTTGGTTGGTTGACTTCATTAACTGCATCTTCTCTGCCTCCAGTTGAAGTCCTGTATCCGCTGGATAAGTCAGTGAAATGAGACATTCATCGTGCGCCAAATCCCCACCTTCAACAGAAGCCATCCCAATGACGATGCTCCGTATGACAGAGTTCACCGTACTTAGGAAAGCCATCGTGGATAGTAGACAGGTAGACGTGCCCTTATCCTGTTTTAAATTTCAAGTCGTTGCTCAATTATCCTTTGTACTGCTGAAGTTTTCACCACAAGCTGAAGCTTCACTCAATTTTCCCTTATGTGAGTATGTGTTGTCACAGTGGTGACGAATTCTCACTGGAATTGCAGGCGATTTCATCCTATAATCATTTAGTCAGTTAGTCACCAATGAGAAGCATCATGATTTTCTTGAAGTGGTTTGTCGAAATACTTACTCAGAATGGTATCACATTTATTTCAGTCATTTAATAAAATATAAATAAATTTAAATTACCGTCACTATCGAATACCAACGGAAGCGTGAACAGAGCTGATTCAATTTTCATAATATTGACTATGCACAGACTGACGAGTATGATAAGGTTCGCTTTTGACCTAAGTGAAAACATTTTACTGAAAGCAAAAATCAATAAAACGAAAAAGTTATGATTTTTCATGAAGAAAATAAAAGACAATTAGCGTGGAGAAGTTTCTTTTCAACGAACTCATCAACCAGGCTGTACATTTGTGTATGTATATTAAATGGATGAGAAAGTTGCAGAATTATTTACGGTCAAAGGTCAAATACATAAAGTTACTAATTGTAATAAACAGGAGATAAGTGGTGTTACTACTCTAGAAGTATTTCAGGCTAAATGTCAAATTAAAAATTGATAAAAAAAAACTAATGAAAATCTTGTTCAAGTTTTTTTATTATTTATTTTTTTTTACAGATAAAAAGACCAGGGAAGAGTTTAAGACCATGGTAGAATAAGAGACTGGACAAACTTTTTCTGTATACACAGTGTTCCGAGTTGTATTGACGAAATGCCAACGCCTCTACTATGTACAAATACCTAAACCTCATGCCCTTTGTACTGTTTGGTCTCATTTTGTAGATGATCTTGAAAGATAACTCTGGTGGAGCTACGTGGTTTAAGTTAACTGAGTACTCGAGAACTGAGCTAGTAACTATCTTGGATTGTCGTTTTGTTAGCCATATCGGATTATGTTCAGAGGTGGGTTTGGAAAAAGTGCGTTTTTTCTGCTAGTATAGCTAGCTCCACCCGAGCAGATGAATTTATAAGCACACGTCGAAGTGGTCCAAAACGCCAGTTTGTCCTTCACACATCCACTGATCATTTGTCAACTTTAGAAATCGATCCGTAGCATAGCCGTGAAGGAGGCGTTCCTGAGTGATTTGCACAAGCAATTCTTCAGGATCTCAGCTGAAGTTTCACCTTTAAATTCAACGTTCATGAACAGAATTTTCTCCGACATCGTGTGAGTTCTTTCAGACTTTGCTTTAACTTTTCATTTGATATAACCTTAAATGAATAACAATGAGTTACTTGTTCTATTGTTTTCGATGCCGACTGGAAGACAAGCCCTCAACAGTACATCTCTAATTTGTTTAATCAGCTACTGCATTATTAATGCATAATAATGCTTCCAACATCGAATGACCTTGGCGGCCTGTTTGAATATTTTTGGGCTACCACATTCCATGTACATTTTGCATCTATTTACTCGTATTTTATTGGTATTTACATATCACATTATGCATTCTAATCGTATTATCTACCCTCGGGATTTTATAAAACGTTTTAAACCCAAAAACTTTCATATTTGCAATAAACTCAAGAAAAAGCACCATGGAGGTTGGCAGCGTGCCTTAAAATCTACACCCATACATCACACCACTGTTCCAGTTATCATTAGTACCAACTGCCGGTCCCTGCCTAATAAAATTCTGGATTTTCAGTCTCTGTTGTCTTCTAGTACCTACCACAATACTGGTATTGTCACTCTGCAAGAAACCTGGCTCCATGACTCATACGATGACAATATTGTGTCTCTAAACAATTTCAATGTTTTTCGACAAGACCGTATTTGTTCCAAGAAAAAGTGTGGTGGAGGTGTTGCAACTTTTATTCACTCAAAATGGTCCATTTCAAACAAAGTTTGTTTCAAATTCTCGAATGACTTCATTGATTGCATCACTGTGAGATGTCGCCCGAAACACATTTCAAAATACAAATTCATTTATATTTCTAATGTTTATGTCTCTCCTGGCTGTACCATATTGGATTTATCTATGTTCGCCGATGAATTCACCGCTTTTGCTGCAGCTTGTTTCGAGAACTCTTTATCAATAGTAACTGGCGACTTCAATGCTAGCGATTGCTCCTTCCTTATATCACTTGGTCATGACAATATTGTCAACTTTGCCACCCGTCTTGGTAAAAACTGGACCTGGTATTTATCAATGATGTTGGTATATATGAAGCTCGCAAACGTGCTCCTCTACTTAATTCTGACCACTGCATCATACGTGTGCTGCCTAAAATATATTCCAAATCACACAAAGGTGTCCTCTCTCACCTCTACAGTAAAGTTCAACGGAGATGCTACTCAAAAGACAACCTAGACAAGCTCAGATGCATGTTGAAAGACACTAACTGGGACTTATTTACAGAACAAACATTAGATGAAACAATCACAAACACTACCGATTATCTTAAATTCTGTTTCGAAATATGTTGTCCTAAAGAAACATTATTCATTCGATTTGATCGCTTATCTTCGCCATATCTCAAAAAGCTACGTAGAAATAAAGAACTGTTGTTCAAAACTAATGATAAGCCTGGTGTAAAAAAGTTAAACATGCTGATAAAACTGGAAATAAAAAGACTAAGTGTTTTATATAATCAAAGATTTTTGTCATGTAAAACCCCTTCTAATTTATGGAAACTTTTCAAAGAAATTACTAACGGTAAGCGATGTATTTCTGTTCCATCTCTTAATGTTGACACTCTTAATAAATCTTTCATACGCTCTTCTGTTGATACCCTTCCAAATGATACAAATCATATTGACAATAACTTTAGTGGTTTTAATACCCTTGATGTGCTTAAATGTCTCCGGTCTCTTAAGCCTTCTCAAAGCCTTGGTCCTGACGGCATACCTGCCATTGTCCTCAGGAATTGTGCTGATATTTTGTGTTATCCTCTTACTAACATTTTTAATGCCTCTTTTTCCGGTAACGTTCTACCTTTTGCATGGAAAAACATTAAAATTATCCCTATACCAAAACCATCTTCTGGTTCTGATATTAAATTTCGGCCTATTGCAATTACTTCCCCCTTTTTAAAATTGATGGAAAAATTACTTTTACTTCGTCTTGAACCCGCTTTGAAACCTTTTAATGATCCTAAACAATTTGCATACAAACATGGTAGAAGTACCTTGGATGCTGCGGTTGTCTTATATCACAATGTTGTCTCTTGTTTAGACAAAGGTGCTAAATATGTTCGTAGTGCTTTCTTAGACTACACATCTGCTTTTGACTCTGTACCTAGGGGCCTTTTATTAAATAAGCTATCGTTGACACAAACAGGATCCTGGGCTAAGAGTTGGTTGCATTCCTATTTTTCTGATAGAATGCAGTATACTGTATATAACGGCAAATCTTCTTCTACCTCGCTTACAAAATCCGGTGTTCCACAAGGTGCTGTCCTCTCTCCTTTTCTTTTTTCTTTCTTCCTACATGACCTGCCTCATTCAAACGAAACTAACTTTGTCAAATATGCAGATGATCTGACTGTATCACTGCCTATCACTTCCGAGTCTGACAGCTCCAAACTTAATAGCTTTCTGTTGGACATCAACAACTGGTCCAAGTCAAATGGTCTTATATTAAATCCTTCCAAATGTCAGGTGCTTGACTTTACTTTCAAGCATCGACGTGACTTACTTGAACTAGTTAACTCTCATGATCCCTGTAGCATAGATGGCACGGAAATTGAAACCAAATCAAGTATTAAATACCTTGGACTAGTTTTTTCCTCTGACCTTTCATGGTCATCCCATATCTTATCTATCTCTAAGAAAATGTTTCGTCTTACCTTCTACATTAAAAAGTTAAGACAATCAGGTATCAACCAACCTTTAGTTTTGCAATTTTTAAACTCCTGTATTTTACCTATTGTACTCTACTGCTCTCCATTAATCTTTCCTGGGCTTCTCAAAAAAGATTATATCATATTACGAAGAGTATTAAATGCTGTGAGTAGAGCTTGTGGTCTGCCACTGCATGAGCTCGCTAATACTATAGTCGAGAGGCATATAAATTCCTGTACGAAATGGGCAAAGGCTATAATGTCAGACCCTCTGCACCCCCTTTATTCACACCTGTCCCCTTGTATCTCATCAGGTAGGACGAGAAGTCAATATAAAAAGATATATGCTCGTACTACTAAGTATAGAAATTCTACAATACCCTATTTAGCGCGTACTTTATGTGACGAAGACTCTGTTAGACGTGAAACTTACAAGTTACTATGTAATTAGCACAGTGAATCGACCCTTTTATCGTTCATCTTTCTGTATTTTATGGTGTCACACTTTCTATCGTTTAAATCGTTACTCTGCTATTTTATATTAGTTGGTATTACTATTATTACTACAATTTTGTACTTTATACATATTTTTCTCCGTATGGCACACAGTATTTTGCTACGTAGCTGCTACAACAATCGTTTTATTACTATTATGTATTGTGTATTTTTAATTTTTTTTTGTCGTTTTTGGGTAAATTAGATGCAATATTGTACTGAATGCTGAAAATTCCTTGCTGTATCATGAGTACTGTTTTTGGAATAAAGCAAATTATTATTATTATTACTGTCATATTCAGCATGGAATTACTAATGCATATTGTCCATAATCACCTCAATGTCACCGTCAGACAAACACACCACTCGTCGTTTCCAACTCGAGTTGTACCCTACAGTTGACCTTGAGCGCAAACGATTTAATATTAATTCATGCATAAATAGGCTACTGAATGACTGAGATGAGTAGTGCTATGCCACACACACACACATTAACCAGTAGTGGCAGACAACTAGCCAACTAATTGAAGTGATGTTGATATGCAGAGGCCGTTTGGGTCATTTCGAACTAGAGTCATCAGTGGCGTATCAAGTCTAATTCCACCCAGTGAGACAAATTAATTCAAACAACTTAGTTCCTAGATTAAGTAGCTCTCTGAGATGAGACAGATCTTGCACGAATGTGATGAGATCGGCCCCGAAGGAGAAAAACGCCTGTCTGGTGATTAGATCACCTCGAACAAGCTGGCAAGCCAACCAGCCAGAGAGGCAGCCAGCATCACTGGTATACAACTAGTCGTCTCAATTAAGCAGAAGCAACATGCATTCATGATTGACTGTACAATCCTATCAATAAAATACGTATAAACTACTGTTAAAATAATACAAGAGATTCTGGGAACAGTGAATCAGATCACTCACTACCAATGAACTCCTCGAAACATGTGACAGTGTAAGGTATTTCTTGATTGTGCAGAATCATTCAGTTGATTATAACGTTGTGCAAAATTCTAAATGGTTTTCCATTGGAGGAGCTGCTCACATGGCTGACTGGTACATGCACACATTGAAATGAATACATTTCAATAATCATCTCCAATAAAACACGAACTATTTACATAAAAGATCGACTTATGATTACTATTTGTCTTTTAGTGTTCCCAGTAGCTAATTGATAAATGTCTTCTAGAAAATCGTCCCCATTGTGATCTTCGAACGTTCAAGGTTGTCACGTGAATGAATGAGTTGGGTGTGAAGCCGAAATCAGCCAATATCAGAGTGTATAGTGATCAGTATATTCTAGTTGATTACTCTGTTGCTTCTAATGATGTTATTTCCGGTAATAGTCACACCTTTAAAGTTTCTAAAGTTGCACTACTTAACAAATCCATCAGATTATATTCAACAAACACTCGTCAATATTATACAATGACAAAAAAATTTGTAAAACAGACAAGAATGTGAATCTTCCTCCAAAGCCTATTGCATATTAAATAGTGTATCAAAAGAATAATTATACAACTGGAACTTACCCACAATGTGTGCTGAATAGGTGCTTACCAGACTGTCTCTTATAAAATATTTTGTTGCACTATATATGTATATATACCATCAACACAGCTTATACTAACTCATTTATTGGTCACTCCCACTGACCAATCAGAAATTCACTGAACCTGATTATTGACAGTTACGTGATTCACCATCTTTGAGTTATAATTGGATTGAAATTGATTAGCAAAACGTTTTGAAGATAAAACAGTCATGAATTTCGGAAATAAAATGCGAATATATGAGATCATTGCTCAGATTATTGTTGTTTTGATCTGATCAGATATGAAAGATTTATTCCAGGTAAATCCATTTATTTCAAATCAGTTAATTATAACGAGTGGCTGCTCACATGTCTGACTGGTACATGCACTCACTGACTTAATTACACTTTAAAAGTCACTTAAAATAAATCACGTCCTTTTGCAAAGTCGATCGGATATATGATCAATATTTGTCTTTTAGTATTCTCAATACTGAATTCATGAATTTATTCTAGAATGTCACGCCCATTGTGATCTGCGAACTTCGAAGATTCTCAGGAGAGTGAATGGGTGGAGAGTGAAATAGAAATGAGTCAGTGTCAAATTTCAAAATGATCAGTATATTCTAGTTGACTAATCTTTTGCGCCTAGCTATGATTTGACACGCAGCCTTCTCTGTGAACACAAGCTTAAATTAACACATCGTCGTTGGCTTCAGTTGATTCTCTGATTGTTGGTGACTATCGATTTCAGCTTGTAACGATCGTCATAAATAAAATGAGGCAATGAAATTGAAGTAGCAATGAAATTACAATGCAAGGGGATTTCGAAGCAGCAAATAACGCGAGAGAAATGTTTGAAGTCTGGTGGTCCAATTTTATGGACTCCTACTCAGCATTAAAGCCAGTATTCGGATTTTAAACACCAGTGTGGAGTCTGTCAGTCACTTGGTGATTTCTTGACTTTCGATCCGAAAGTTGGCCGTCGCATCGTGCAAAGCATTTCCATCAGGCTACTTTATACTTCTGTCAACAGCTGTCTTCGGTGTCATCATAGCGAATATCGTATGGTCATGCGGGAGGGATTAAATATAAGAGATTCAAAGAACGGACAAATCAAGGACCTATTTCTCAATGATCGTGTTGAAGAAAATGGTAATGAATCGGAAAAACGCTAAGCAGACTGTCGAATTACTTCGCGAGCCAGGTTATCACCTCAGTTGGAAGTGAATGCGAAAAGCTGAATGGACGTGCAATGACAACATGGAGGAGATCATGAGAGTAAAAGGTGGTCACATTGCTCAGAGATTAACAGACTCAGACATTGAAATATTGATCAAATTTATCAACTGTGAAATAATAAGACAGCTATGTGGCAGAAGATAAAGACAAATTCTGAGTTGAGAATGGTCAGTGCATTTGTAAATTGACTACTTATCAAAACGCCGGTTATCAAGATACACAACTATATCCTTATTCATGCAGGAGTCAAATAACTTCACATTTTATATTCATTTGTGCACTGTGGAAGTCTAGGCTCTGGTGGTTAACGCCTTGATGTATAAAGCGATGGATACTGATTTCGAGTCTCACTGGGGACACTACAACACACTGGTAAATCCAAACGATGAGTCTCGCGCTGGACAAAATTCGCATCTTCGATTCGACTCCAGTGCTAGTCACCATCCATCAAAATCACTTCAAGTTCATCACCCGATGCCGTCATATGAGAATATTTGTTGATATGTCATATGCTCAAATGTTTTATATCTACACTCATGCAATACATATTTCATGCTAACGCAAATGATTCACTATATTCTGCCAAATGAAACATTTGAGACAGTTTCAGGTATAATGAAACTGTTGCTGGCTAACGAAGCTTCTTCTCCGAATGGTGATATCAATGCACACACGTGGTATATTAAAACAAAAAGATATCAGTGAATATGAGTTTTTTCTATTTCGGTAGTACTGTGGTACGATATCTGCCTTATGTCATGTCAGTTGGGTCATAGGAGTTATTAAGAAGGCAATTGCAGCGAAGAAAATTTTCTTTTCGGCGAAGTCATCATCTAGGCTGTACATTCGTGTATTTATATCAAGTAGGTGGGAAAGTTCCAGCATAATTTCCAGTTAAGGGTCAAATTAATAAAAATTACATTTGGGAATTAGAATGCCATAATAAACATGGGGACGGATTAAACAAACAACGTCATGTCAGTTATTATGACCATTAATGGTGAACATCAAATTGCATACTTCCCACACATTTTCTTCACACACAAACACACACACAGTCATTCCTTCGAAGTAACCCGTTTATCAATGTACCCTGATGAGATTTTACATGAAACAGGCGACATCGGAAATGCAGACATTCATGTGAATATACTTTGATTTGAGTTAGTATTCAGCAATACTGAGGTGCATTCAATATACTCCCAATACCACCGTACAAAGAAGATAACGAATTCCTAAAACTTCATTATGATAAAAGTTTTCTTGTATTTCCCAATGAATGAAAAACAAAACGATATTGTTTTTACCGACGTTTCGCTATTTAATGCTGCTAATAGCTTTATCAAAGTAAAGAGAAAACCGGAGTTTACAGAATCTGAGAATATATATACGGAAAAAAGTTAAGGGGTGAGAAAACAGACTTAGGTCAAGTTAAAATGGGACATATTGAAAGTCAAAATCACAATGAAGATCACTAAGCTAAGTAACAAAGGTAATAAATAGTACGTCTGTTATGATATCAAAACAAAGTTTAATAACTTGCTCATCGTTCCTTAGTCTGGCGTCATTTCTCGTTGTCAAACAGGTCAATTAGCATAGAAAGCAAAATCAAGTGTAGATTGTTGGATTTGATCAGTGTGTGACATTATAAAAGTATTGTGTCTTTGCACAGTGAACTTGCTTATCACATTCGTGTTGATTTTATCACTTCATGAAGGAGGGAGGTGCTGTAACCAGGTCAACAAATGTTAGAAACTACGGAATTCCGGATACAAGTAGAGCTTGCTCGTAGACCATTCAGCTGGTGAGACCCGACTCAATGGTTCATGACCCATGAATCTTAACTGCTATACCACACATGGCATACAGACTACTGACGTGTACTAAACAGCTTTCCACTACTCCCTGTTATTCTTCTATACTCCATCAACTAATATCAATTCGAAATTTCGATAATGATTTTGATTTGACAATCAAAGTGTCTCATTTGAATCATGTGTACTAAACTCTGTCTTTCTTTGCCTCAAAAAGTGGTTGATCGTAGTTTGATTTTTAGGCTAGTAGGCCTCTGATTAATGCATTGTAAGAGTGTGTTTATTGGTTAGCCGTTAGGTGAAATGACAGGCAGTCTACAGTCTGAATCTTCATAATAGAATTTGCATATGGTAAGAGTTAACCAATGTTGGCTGTTCGAATCCTGTCACTTCCTAGCAGTCTGCCGATAAATTGATTGCAGACCTACATGAGAAGAATCGTGAGCACGAATGGATGAGTGGTAATGTGTCTGACTGCATCACTGGGTGATGCAGTCTCAAACTCTACAGAGTATATGAGTTCCTTAATCGTTGCAGACACGCCTTATTGATGAGTGGGAAGAAGCACTGGGGAAAGTGATGCTTGCCAAGTGCCTCCAATTGTTTAAAATGTGGAAAAAGCTTTCTTCTCCTGAAAATCTTTAAACGCACAAACAACATGAGCCATCGATTGTGTAACAATGCATTTCACTCTTCGTCAGAATATTCAACATTTCAGTAATAACTTGTGTCTTCACTAGTATAAGAGAGTCCTACATTGATAACACATCATTTATTAGTTTGGAGTTATTGTGGAATTTAATAGAAGTGAACTTTGATATAACGTTTGTTTTTTATGCAACGCAGTTAATCATTAGTCGTAATTACAATATCAAAATGAGTGGAATTCGGATATTCGGATGAAAATTTCTTCGAATCGGGTGAAGAGCTCAGTGAACTTTGTATTTCCGATATCTTTATCCTCAGGAATACGGATGAGTGGAATACAGTTGTTATATATATATGTGTGTGTGTGTGTGACAACTAATAGAATGGTTGTACACGGAGGATGGAATTTGTATTCTGCTGAACCTGCAGTGTGGCTTCACCATAAATATTCTGCAGATGTTTATACAGGACGAGATTGGATGTTACTCGTGTGAGTTCTTCGTGTGTTTGTATGCGTGTGTGTGGACACTCTGTTAGTGTGCGTCAGTGTATACTGCATCAAACAAATAGGCTAAGATTGAATAATATTCTCACGCAGATCCGATGTCCTACTTCTTCACGACTAATCATAACATTACTGAAAACTTCTTCGAGGAGATGAAGAGAAGAGGTGACGAATGCAAACTGAGATAAAGTGTAGGGGTAAACAGTACAGCCATTCACTCACCAGCAAATATCTTGATCAAATATCTCATATCAAACTCCATGTGTTTTATTGGAAAAACCGAATTATTTTGTTAAATAGTCTCACTGAGATAATCAGAAACCGGAAACGTTACTCAAAGTGAGTTTGTTCAGCCGAATTGACTAAACCGACCGCGTCTCTGGAAATAATGGTACACAAAGTTTCAGAAATTATATATGTCCAAACCAAGTTCACTTTTTACGGTTTGAAAAAATTTGGGCATTGGGTATACGATATTCATTATAATAAAGGTTTTCTTGCATTTCCCAATGAGTGAAAAACAAAACGATATTGTTTTTACTGACGATTCGCTATTTAATGCTGCTAATAGCTTTATCAAACTATTTTTAAACCGGAATTTTAAATATCTCAGCATATATATAACAAAGAGTTAAGAGGTGAGATGAGCACACTCTCTGATAACGGATGTGCAGGAAAAAGAAGAAAAAATATCAAACATTACTGAAACTCTCAAGCAAAACAACTACCCAAGGAGCTTCATCAACAAAATCAACACAGACATTAAGTATGGCCGGAAACGCAATCCGAAAACATGGACATCAACAATCGTC